CTCAGTCAGTAACGGGAACTTTTCTGTTTGTATATAAGAGATAACTATCAGAAACAGCCTGTCAAACTTCACTCGTCAGGATGCAGTCATTATTTCAGTTCATCATTATGCTACCGTGCAGGTCACACAGAAAGGATCCTGGTAATCAGGGCTTAAATTTGAATTTAGAAGGAGCTCAAATTATTTACCGGTCTGTAAGACCTGGGCACCGGCTGTTTATGGAGACGTGTGAGTCCATCTCCTTTTATTTACATTCATTGTCCACTTTATCAGCTTTACTTAACGTTAGGTGAACAGTAAGCCTGTAATATTAAGCTGGATATTTTTGGTTGGCAGACTATTCTCAGTTAGATGAACTGATGTGTTTAAAAACTCCATCAGCACTGCTGTGTCTGATCCACTCGCAGTGCTGAGAATGACCCACCACCCAAATAACACCTGCTCTCAGGGGGTCCTTTGGGGGTTCTGACCATTGAAGAACAGGGTAACAGAGTATGCAGAGAAACAGATGGACTACAGTCTGTAACTGTAGAAGTACTGAGTGAAACTATATGGTCAGTGGAGCTGATAAAGTGGACAGTGAGTGTAGAAACAAGGAAGTGGTTTTAATGAATAATCGTCTATATATATTGCGTCACTAAAATACTTCAAAAATATTTCCAAAGTGAGAAACAAAAGGATAATACGCACTTTATGTACAGTATGAACATGTTTTCTCACTGAATAGGGGGTTGAGATTTGGTCAGGTTTTAGCAGGCCACGCTTTAGACAACTCTGCTATAGAGGTACTGTTTCAGGGTTTTATGGTGTGTGCAGAATACTAGCATTTACTCCTTTTTTACCTGACCAAAATTGTGATTTAGGAGCACCTGTGTGAGAACAGATTTTGACCAGAATAGCCCAACACTTCATAGCCCAAGAAGCAGGTTTTTAATCAGTGCTGCGTACCAACGGCCTCGAATGCTACTATATTTACAGTGAATGTAAATCTCAGTGGTTAGAATCTTTGCTGGCTTACTGACCAAACTGGTAATAACTGCTGGTACAAACACATACTTTGTACTAATTAGACAAAACAGGGCTGTTTAGGCAGGGTGAGAAGGGTGCTGTGATCTTTGTGTTTATTTTAACCAAAAAGTATGTCACAGACTTTTTATTAAGACCCCAGGGAACTCTGTGAACTTGTGGAAAAAGGGTATGTCACCTTGGACAATGAAGGAAAATACCTGACTGCTGAATGTATCATTCTCTCTCACGGATGCAACCGCTGCACTTTAAAATGCAACATGACATTCAAATAAAAAGCTGGTAGATAAGAAGTTAACTTTGTCCAAGATAGACTGACCAAACCAGTTTTCCATTAACAAGAGCTTTGCAGCAATTTTTTTATGTTTGTTTTTTTTTTTTCAGTTTTGTTTTTTTTTGGATTGGATTGTGTTGAACAGAGATATAGAAACCATTTCTACTATTATGCATTTTATAGCGCAAAATCAAACAGGATTTGATTCACAATGTGTATATTATCGAATTGTGATCCCCCTACATCCTCAAACTTGAAGATACAGTCGTTGGTGTGGAGACTGAAGAGAAGGAGTGAGAGCATACAGCCTTGTGGTACTCCAATATTGAGGTTCCGAGGGTCTGATGTGTGTTTTCTAAACTGCAGTTGCGGTCCCCTGTCTGTCATCCATGATTCCTACTGGCAGATTTGATCTCGCTCAGGCAGCTGGGACGGTTTAAAATGCACAGCTTTCTTCACCCTGTAGTAGTACTGCTCCCAGTCCATTCTCTGATGCATCAGTTTGTACTACATGAGGCTTGCTGAAATCTGGGCTACATAGAACTGGGTCTGAACACAAGCAGCCTCTGAGGTCTTGAAAAGTTGCATCACATTCATCTGTCCACTTTACTCTTTGCGGCTTGTTCTTTTTTGTCAGTTCGGTGAGTTTAGCCGCCTATTCAGCAAAGTCTGGGAGGAATCGACTGTACCACCCAACAAGTCCCAGGAATGACCTCACCCTCCTCTTGGTTGTGGGAACAGGGGCATCCTTTGATGACCTTCATATTGTCAACTTGTGGCCTGATAACTCCATCCCCAAGCACATAACCAAGATAGGACACCTCCTTCTTGCCATGTCTCGCTGTAGATCACAACGTCATCCAGATAAGCCGCCGCGAACCCTTCTGTGCCTAAGTCCAGAGTAGACAAAAACTTTCCAGGCCTCTCTATCAGTTCATCTGCTCTAGGCATCGGGTAGGAGTTAAATGCTGAAACAGAGTTGAGCTTTGAGAAATCTACACAGAACCTCAATTCACCATCGTTTTTTTGGTAAAGGTACAACTGGGCTGCACCGCTAGCTCTTGGAGGACTCAATGATTCCCATCTCCAGCATCTTTTTCACCTCCTCCTTGAAGCTGGGGATCAGCCGTGCAGGGACTCGGCAGTTAGTCTGTCTGATGGGCTCGTCCTTCAGCAGTTTGATGTTGTGTTGAGCCGCCGTCGTCTTCCTGCTGGGGATGATGGCTTGCAGCTCCGCCCGTTAGTCTGGGCTCAGGTGGTTCAGGTCCAGTGTCGCTGCGTTGTGCTCACTGCCATTGCAATATGGGCTGTGCCACTTCGCCAGCAAGCTTTACATTTACATTTACAGCATTTAGCAGACACTCTTATCCAGAGCAACTTACAAAAAGTGCTTTGTCCATTTAGAGAGAAGATTTAGAGATCTTTGCTAGCTACCAATAGGTTAGAGAGGAGGCTAGTCCTGAGCTCAGATACAGCTAAAAACAAAAGTCCATGTTGATACCTAGAGAAAAAGAAACAGAGTTAAACACAGTGCAGTCCAATACATTTCAATAAGTGTAAAACAATACATTACAATGAATACTAAACTCAGTGCTCATTTAAGTGCTGTATAAAGAGATGTGTTTTCAGTCTGCATTTGAAGACCACGAGAGACTCTGCTGTTCGGACAGCCAGTGGGAATTCATTCCACCACCTGGGTGCCAGTACAGAGAAAAGTCTTGATGCTCATCTTCCGAGTGTCTTGAAGGATGGCAGGTCAAACTGTGCTGTGCTCGAAGCTCAAAGGGCTCGAGGTACAGTTCGAGTTTTGACCATTGCCATCAAGTAGGCTGGTCCATTTTTGGCTTTGTAGGCATCAGAGTTTTAAATCTGATGTGTGCAGCTACAGGAGGTGAAGGGAGAACAGCAGTGGGGTGACGTGACTGAATTCAGAAATATTGAAGACGAGCCGTGCTGCTGCATTCTGGATGAGTTGCAGAGGCTTGATGGCCTGTATAGGAAGACCAGCCAAGATTGAGTTGCAGTAGTCAAGCCTTGAGATGACAAGAGACTGAACTAGCACCTGGGTGGCCTCTCGAGTGAGAAAAAGTTGGATCCTCCGGATGTTGTACAGGAGAAACCTGCGTGGCCGAGCTAGGTTTGCAGTGTGAGCCGAGAACAATAACTTGCCATCCAGAATCACACCAAGACTTGCCTCTTCAGATGGAAAAATCAGAGTTCTCGAATGAGATGGCAAGATCATGATGAGGACCTATAGTTGCAGGGACGAATAGCAGCTCAGTCTTGCTAGGATTGAGCTTCAAGTGGTGAGCTGCCATCCATGAAGAGATGTTGGTCAGACGTGCCGAAATGCGACTGGAAACCTGTGTGTCAGAAAGTGAGAAAGAAAACATTAGTTGGCAAGCTTGTGTCAGAAGTTGGTAGTAGCACTAACGCCTTGTCACCTGGCTTAAGCGTCCTGTTCCTTGACACCTTGTCATACCAGTTCTTCTGGTACTGCTGCACTTGCTCCAAGTTCTCCTTCACCAATGCAGTCACACTTGCCATTTTTTCACGCATCTTCATCCCATGGAAAGGACGTTGGGTTTTTTTCAGTGTCTTGTTCCTCCCAGGCTTCTTTCAAGATGTCCAGTGGCCCTCGCACCTCTCTTCATTAATGCAACTGGAACAGTGAGAAACCTGATGATGCTTGAGGCAATTCTCTGTATGTGAACAGGATGAAGGGAAGCCAGGTGTCCCCGTCAAAACACGTGTCACACACAAACTTTCTGAGGAGTGTTTTCAGGCTCTTGTTAAAGTGCTCTACCAACCCATCTGTCTGAGGATGGTAAGGGGGGGGGTTTGATGCCATGAATATCTAATAAATTAAAAGCATCTTTAACCTGCTTTGAGGTGAAATTAGTACCTTGATATAATTTCTTTGGGGACCCCTACCTGTGAGATGAGCTGAACACTATTTGCTGTGTTTTCACCTTTTTAAGTGCGAAAGCCTCAGGATATCTGGTTGCACAATCACAAAGCTCTAAAATGTATCTGTTGTAGCTGTTCTGCTACAGGGAAGTGGACCTACTATTTCCATTGCAATGCGCAAGAACAGTTCTTCCACTATTGGGAGATTTATTAAAGGTGCTCTGTCATCTTAAGTGCTGCCCTGGCCAATAAAATCTGGTGGATATGCGATTCAAAGTTTTTGCATTCCCCATATGACCTGCCCATGGCTCAGAGTGTCCAAGCTTTAACACCTCAGTTTTGCCATTGCCATTGCCAAAAGCCCAAACATTACCAGTAAAGGTACATTGATAATGTCCTGGGATTTGTGTGTAAAACCATTAATAGTTTCAGTTTATCATTTTAAATCAGTCAGATGTTTCCACATTGTTGTATGATATATTTTGCTATTAGGTCTCCAACTAAGTAAATAGTGTTGATGTTAAGACTATTTGTCTCACATTTTTGTTGCTTTTTGTCATTGAATTTTGTATTTTTTATTTTAACTTTATCTTCTTTTTCAGGAAATAACGTCATCCTGTTGCACGTCTTCTGTTGCTCCTACTGTTCCCCTGCCTTCACAGATCAAATTTACCTTCAAAAACAGAGCAGGAGGTTCTACCAAAAGGAATTTATCAGACTGCAGAAATCTGGACTAAATAAATGGCGTGCAGAAGACAAAAGAAGAAAAATACATACAAAGATAGAAATCATCATTGCTCAGAATGTGGAAAGCGTTTTACTCAAATGGGTAATCTCACAGCCCACCGGCGCATTCACACAGGAGAGAAACCGTATCAGTGCTCTGAGTGTGGGACTAGTTTTACTCAACTGAGTACTTTCAAAGCACACCAGCACATTCACACAGGAGAGAAACCATATCGGTGTTCAGAATGTGGGAAAAGTTTTACTCAACTGAGTTCTCTCAAAAGACACCAGCACATTCACACTGGAGAGAAACCATATCACTGCTCAGACTGTGGGAAGAGTTTTGGTCAACTCTTTGCTCTCAAAACACACCAGCGCATTCACACAGGAGAGAAACCGTATGAATGCTCGGAGTGTGGGAAGACTTTTAGTCAGCCAGTTTTTCTCAGTCTTCATCAGCGTTTTCACACAAGAGACAGCCTGTACTACTGTTCAGAGTGTGGGAAGACTTTTGTTACCCAGACTGAAATCAGAGTACACCTGCGCATTCACGCAGGAGAGAAGCCGTACCAGTGCTCGGAGTGTGGAAAGAGTTTTACTCAGCTGGGTACTTTGAAAACACACCAACTCATTCACACTGGAGAGAAGCCATATCACTGTTCTGAATGTGGGAAGAGTTTTAATCTAAAGAATCACCTTCAAATACACCAGCGCATTCACACTGGTGAGAAACCGTATCAGTGTTCAGAATGTGGTAAGAGTTTTGTTCAACAGAGTAATCTCAAAACACACCAGCGCATTCACACTGGAGAGAAGCCATATCACTGTTCTGAATGTGGGAAGAGTTTTAATCTAAAGAATCATCTCCAAATACACCAGCGCATTCACACTGGTAAGAAACCGTATCGGTGCTCAAAGTGTGGAAAGAGTTTTAGTCACCAGAGTACTCTCAAAACACACCAGCGCATCCACACTGGTGAGAAACCGTATCAGTGCTCAGTGTGTGGAAACAGTTTTAGTCACCAGGGTACTCTCAAAACACACCAGCGTATTCACACAAGAGAAACTTTATGAATGCTCAGACTGTGGAGTTTTAACAATCAGACTAATCTCCCAAGACACAAGTGTGATCAGACTGGAGACAGACCTTAATACTGCTCAGGCTGGAAGGAGCTGTACTGAATGAATTTAAAGAAACAAATGGGTTAATGCATCCTATTTGCTTTGATTCTTGTATCACTGTTTTGAAGAAAGTTTCTTCCAAAAACTGCCAATAGCTTTCAGAGTTGGTTTTCAGTCCATCTGTAACCACAGCCATCTGTGATTAAAACTGTCTTAATAGACAGAGCTAGTCTATGGTACAAAACTATTTCCAAAGCCTAAAATCCTTTCAGGAACACAGTAGGATTAGTCATTGTGAAGTGGAAAACGTTTGCAAATGACAGAGCTCTTTCTAGACCAGTGCACAACCCTGGTCCTGGAGTGCCAATGTCTTGCACAGTTTGGTAGCTTCCCTAATAAAACACACCCACTAAACCTAGCAATTAACAGATAAAGAAAAGTTTGAATCAGGTGTTTTTGAGCAGGAAAGTCACCAGACTGTGCTGGCCCTTGTAGCTGGAGTTGTTCTAGACTTTGGACATTTGACCAAACTCACTAACCAGGTGAGATCATCCTATCTCAAGGAGTTCGCAAAGAACCCAATGGACAATCCAGCAGTGGTTAAGAAATTATCTGACATGTTAGACCCTGCCAGAAGGACACACTCCATAAATCAATCCTTTATAGTGGAGTGGCTATCCCAGACATGTCAAACTGGGTTTCCTCCAGGCCACAGCTCTGAGTTTAATGATGAAGGCTGCAAAGACAAGAATCTAACAAGTGGGGTAGACCAAGAATGTCAAATCAAAAAACCAGGTACTGGTTTCTTTACTTGGCTAAAACCTTGTTTTACCTGGCTAGCAACATCGTCCTAGGGAGAAAGAAATCTACCTCAGAGTGCACACAACCTTGGACTGGGACAAGTTCACTTTTCAGTATGACAAAGAACTGAATCTCACAACCAAGATGATGCTGGAGTATCTTATAAACTGAATGTATCTTGGATCTTGAACCCCAGAGAACATCTTTTGTGACAGCTGCAGAGGGCAGTTCATCATCCAGTTTGACCGAGCTTGAGAGAACCATTTGTTGTATGTAAAAAATAATTAAAATGAAATACGTGTAAGGGAGAATAGTAGTTCATAGCTGAGATTTTCCTGTTTTCACAAAAAAGAAACGTGAATAATTTTTAGCTAAGAGTGAAGGCGTGGTTTACCTCATCTTTCATGAACTAGATTTGACAGTGACTAGAGGAAGAGGATGAGAGCTGAAGTAGGATTGCTATCCTTTGACTTGACTTGTTAATGATATAACAATACATTGAATAAAAACATTAAGTCCATTTGTGTTTTGATTGTTTTGTGTAGATTGATGCTATACCTGGAATTACTGTCGGGGAAGGTCTCTAGATGGTCAAAACAGTCAATAATAAAGTGGATAGTTCTGGATGTAAAATCTGAATTATGTTTCAATTTGCAAAATCTTGATATACAAGTTAGTAAAACAATCTTTGTTTATTATTGTAATTGTTATAAAGGTCCTTATTTTTATAAAAGCAACCCACTCAAACCATGCTTTAGTGATTTTTTTTTTTAAAGGGTTTTAGGCACTCTGTAGAATGTGCTGACTGTAGAAGGCATTTACTGTTAAGACAGCATTACTCGCAGATGAGATATTACCAGTTCATTGGTGCAGTTTAACTTTATTTTATCTCTGACCCTATTGAAGAGTTCTTAACCTCACTAACTCAATTTACATTGTCCCCATAGTTAACATTGCCTAACTTAACTTACATTACCTTAACAGAGGCTTGTTAGCATTAAATACTTCAAAAACGTCAACATTAATTAGTTTGAGGTTTTCCAGCTGCAGGATGTTTGTGGGTAAGTTTTAAATTAGAATACAATATCTGGTACAGAGGTTTTCTAGACAGTTTGTCAGAATCGACTTGACATTTTATTACTATTTAAAGATAAACATATTCAAAGGTACTGTCTCAAGGGTGAAGACATTGCAGTGATTGGCAATGCTTGCAATATCCCATCTGTGAGGGATACAGTCACCTAATCCTTTCCTACTGTCATGGTTTCCCAGGTGCATTTCTTCCCTTTTCTTGCTCTGGTTGTTTAACCTGTCTCCCTTGTTACATGGGCCCTTCAGTTTGTTTTTGATTTGGTTCTTTGTTTCTGCCCTTGTCCTGCGCCCTTAACCTGTGTTCTTACCTGTATCTAGTTCGGCTGCCCCTCCTTCCCCTTATCTTGTCCCCTAAGCTGCCCCTCCTTTCTAATCTTGTCATTCACATAAGTAGCCCTCTTGTTTTGTTTTGTTTTGCCTGGTTTTTTTGATAGTTTGTGAGAGCCTGTCTCACTGAAGGTCTTATCTAATATTAGATTTCTTGGTTTGTGTTTGCTTTATATTTTCGTAGCTTTCTCTTAGTATTTGGGTTTGTTTAATGCTTTGTTTTTAATAAACTTCAAACCTCACACCTACATCCTGCCTCCGAGCCTCATTGCATGACAGAAGACCAGACCTCATCAATGTATCATGGATGTACCAAAACTTTTCGAAACTTTGAAAAGTGGATCATGGAAGAGAAGGAAGTCAATCTTCAACTAATTACAACTTTCTCCACCAACTTCACTTCTCCTGTCCCATCTTTGGAAATAAGAACGCTGCCTCTCTTTTCTCTAGGATTGCTGCTATTGTGGGAGTGCCAAGGGACTCTCAGACCATAACCATAGAACAGGGGAGGCCGATGGCCCAGGTCATACAGTGCTACAAAGTGCTCCAGAGGGCATCACTGAGCTAGAGCATGGCCAAGCTTCCACACCCACTAGTGCACTTGCATCAGAAGACACTTCACCAGCTCCCTAGCTCTCTGCCCTGCCAGCCTCAGAGTGCCAGTCTACCCTCAGGGTGCCACCCATAGTGCTCCAGTAGGACACCAGTGAGCTGTTGCCTGCCTCTGAGCCTCCACCCATTGCTATGTAGAGCACTGGCCCATCAACGCCTGCCCTCATCATGCCACCTGGAGCTACCAAATCATTGGTGGCTCACCAACACACCACATCTGTGGTGCCCCCCTTAGCAGCCTCTCTGGTGGTGGCTCCTCTAGCTGCCTCCCATGGGTTGGTGACCACAACTGGAGTTGATTGCTGTTCTCACACATTCACTCAGGTGTGTTGGCGGTGAAGCAGAGGGGAACTGATATCTCAGGGTGCCCTCATGTCTTACCTTCTAGCTCTGCCTTTTAGTGAGGTTATAATGGCTCTACCTGCCAGAGTCTCTGCTGCAGTCTGTTAATACTGTGTACTGTAATTGGCCACTCCTAACAGAGCTGTCTGTACTTTGCCAAGCTAAAAAAAATTGCCCATCTTGTGCGGTCAGATGTTCATCTTCCTTGATAAGATGGCCCCCTGCTCGACACTTTCTGGACCAGTTTGACCACCTTGCTGTCCAACACAGTGCAGAAAGCCTCTCCTGCTTGAAACTGACCCTCCTGATATTGCTGCATGCAGACTCAAACTACTTAATCAAAGACATTGTTATGCCTGCCTCACAATACTTTGAGTGCTTCTCATATACATACTAACAGATCATTACAGACTTCTAACAAATCGCTGATGTTCATGGTCTTCACTGTGATTCACTCCTAACAGTAGTCACTGGTTTTCCTTTTTGAGTCTTGGTTCCTCTCAAGGTTTTTTCCTCTTGCTTTTGGGGTTTTTCTTGCCACTGATGCCATTGGCGACACTCATGGGTGCTTGGACCCAGATTTTTCTGTAAAGCTGCTGTGTGACAACACGTTGTAGAAAGTGCTATATAAATAAACTTTCACTTGACTCCCCAGCTCCTGGTCCCCGGACTGCTACAGTTCCCCCGAGGCCACTCCAGTTCCTGCTCCCTAGGCCGGTACAGCAATCCAGCATGCAGCAGATCCACCTCTCTAGGCTGCTTCTGTTCCAGCTTCTTGGGTTGGTCTAGAGCATTGATCCCTCTCCTGATTAATTGCTGGACTCCACAGCTGGTGCTCATACTGTGCCAGCTCCCAGAGCTGCTCTAGTGCTGGCCATTAGGACCACTCCATCTCCAGTGAGGTGGGGCTCAGCCGGTTGCTTTGAGCATTCCTGTCCCTGTTACTGTATGGCTATTTGTCCCTGTTGCGTCCTGTTTCTGTCCCTGTGCCAGTTGCCCAGTTGCTGTAAGTCAGTTCCACTTACTTTCCCTGTTCCTATTTTGGTGTTTTTCCAGTCTCATATACAGTCTCCTGTCCTGTCATAGTCTAAAGTTTTAATATTAGATTTGTTTTCATTATTTACATTTATACATTCAGCCCTCTGAGCTCTCTGATCAGTGTAGCCATTGCTGGACCGAGAGAGGAGTGCAGTGACAGAGCTAGAACTGCATTTTACTTATCAAATTAAACATGCTTAGAGTGAACTGGACATTTTAATGTCCAGTCAGCAGCTCCGACTAGGCACTGGACATTAAAGCTCAAAACTGGAGTCTCTGATAGTTAGACATGTAGGTGGCACACAGACAGAAAAGTTCACCTTTAGCTGTAGAAACATATTTCTTGATATGACAACAGAAGTAAATCTGGTAGACCCACTAAACCAGCTAACTAGCTATCACTAATTAACTGCCTTGCTAGGAAATCCAGCAAAGATCATCAAATATACAGTGTCTGTGAAATACAGCTGCTTAGTTTAAACATCTCAGAGGGTGTTACTCCATTAGAAAAGTGGAGCTGCTCAGTCTGATGCAGTAAAGGACCATGAAATATGCTGACTGTATACAGACTGTATTTCCCATGAGTCTGTGCACAGAATTGTAAATATTGGCAAGTGTTCTTCCTTCTTTGAAACAATTGTACTATTGAAAGTCTTGCTCATTTTTTTTCTTTTCACAATAGGCAGATCTGCGCCGCTGCTGCGCCTTCTCTTCTGTCACCTTTGTCGACAGCTTCTGTTTTATCGTCCTTTCAAGTCTAACACAAAATAACACAACACATGCTCACACTTTAACTGTTAACTGTGAGTTAACACACTAACTGCCAGCTAACACACTAACTGCAAGCTAACATAGTAACCTCAAACTAACTGTGAGCTGATGTGCCAGCCCTGAGCTAACAGCTAACTACTTTGAGCAAGGAAATAATTTAACATTAGTCACTGAGAATATAAAGGGGTAACATGCAGCATCTGGCCCACATGTCTAACATCTGCCCAGAAGTCAACTAAAGCTCACATATGAAAGCCAGTATCTCTGGCCCAGAAATGTCTGTAATTTGGGTGGCTGTCTCCTGCACTATGATTGGCTAATATTGTCAGGAAGCATCTGCTGATTGAACGTTTGTGTCACTGTAGCAACCACGAAACACAGCGCAACTTTAGCATCAAGACATTTTTGGTGCCGCGAGGGTGGCAGCCTGCTGCAGCAGCTCCGGCTCCCTTGAAGCATTTTTCTTACTTGTACTTTTCTCATTTTCTTTTTAAGTATCTATTGATTGATTTGCCAAAAGGATTTTGCACTATGAACACAAACTTGTAGAGTTTGGGTGAGTACCACAACAGTGGAAAACATCTTGTGTGCAGCACCTGAATGACCTCAGCAGCTACAGGCTGGTGACACTGACATCGTATTTGAAGACCCTAGAGAGGCGGGTCCTTGCACATCTCTGCCCTCTGGTGAGCTCATCTATGGTCCCACTTCAGTTTGCCTACCAACCTGGCATTGGGGTGGATGACATGGTCACCTACCTCCTACACAGAGGTCTTTCTCACCTGGAGAACCCTGGGAGCTCTGTGAGAATCATGTTCTTTAATTTCTCTAGTGCGTTTAACACCATACAGCCTGGCACCTGAGGGACAAGCTGGAGAACACAGGGGTGCATCACCACCTATCAAATTGGATTCTGGACCTTCTCACCAACCGACCACAGTATGTGAGGGCACAGGACTGTGTGTCTGACATGGTATTCAGCAGCACAGAAGCCCAGCAGGGAACAGTCCTGGCACCGTTCCTCTTCACCCTGTACACTGTAGACTTCATGTACAGCTCACCGAAACTGTCATCAATAGAATTCCTCTGATGACTCAGCAATCATCGGAGTCATTACAGATGAGGAAGACATAGAGTACAGAGAACAGTGCAGACGGCGGGAGACAGGAGGATGTTAGCCAGACTAACATCCATGCTGGAGAACAGCTCCCACCCCATGACCGAGACTCTGGCAGCACTGGGCAGCACGGGGCAGCTACTTCAGTGACCGGCTGCTTCACCCCAAGTGTGTGAAGGAGGCTCTCACAGGTCCTTCCTGCTGCTGTTAGACTGTACAATCAGCACTGCTCCCAGTAGAACCTCCTCCACCCCCCATTAGACCTCACACACCTACAAAACATACACTGTGAATTCATCACCATTTCCTGTGTGCAGTATAACCAACACTCCATGTGAAATATGTGTACATGTAAAACGTCTTTATAGTGTAAAGATTATTTTTGCTTTTGTTATTTATAATGTATATATTGTTAACTTCTGTGTTATCTTTAGTTTTATTTTTTAATTAACAAGGTTAGTACTTTGCATTTGAATTCTCTTCTTGTTACTCTTTTCTTGAGTGTCTTGTTGTCCCTTTGCTGCTGAGAATGTCCCTGTTGTGGGACTAATAAAGGATTATCTTATCTTATCTTATTTTTACCTCCTGAGCTGTGATTGGCCAATTTAAAGCAATCATAAAAATGTCTGTTTACGCTTATTCAGACTTATTCCGGTCGGCCCTATACACTCACTACTCATGTTGCCCCGCCTCCCCCTCGTGTCAAGGATGAGAGGATGAATTATCCATCTGACAGCTGCAAACTGCACAGTGTCTTTGAAACGACACAGAAACATTTAATAGGACAAAATAGTAACTTAAACAGCAGCACAATTTCTTCGACTTCACTAGACACAGTTACAAACAACACTTCCGTTCCCCAACTCTATATTTCAACCATAATCTAAAACCACAGCAGTCATATTAAAAAAGGTGTATATAATGCTGCCTGCTGAGGTTCCTCTGTTCAGCTGTTTTTCAGAGGCAGTTAAGATCTGTCCTTCACTACTTCACATACCCTGTAATCCTCTTTGTCGGCGCTAATGCAGTTAGGAAAAATATTAGTAAACAGCGGCACTGACTCAGTGGAGGCGAGAGACCGGTCAGTACACAAATACAATAATACAGTACTTCTGACTTCACTATAAAAGGTTCAGCATGCTAGTCTTCTTAAGGACTTTTATTTCTGGGTGAAAGATGCTAACCGCTAACGATAAAAGCTTGCAGTGAGCTGTCGTCTCTTGGCAACTTTGCTGACCTGTCGCTGCCTTCAAAGTGTGTCTGAAACGTGATTTGGTTGCAGGTACATTCATCACCCCTCCATCTTCTAATGCACTGACTTATGAGACAGCGCAGACAACAGGGCATGAACAGCGGAACAGCTTTCAGTTTGAGACACAGCCGCTGTCTCCAGTATTGCTGGTGGTAAGTAACGCATCACATTTGAGCCTGTTTTTATGGGAGGCAAATCCAGCCAAAAAAGAAATTAAAATTAAAACAATAAAATGTACATGCAAACT